GAGGCTGTTGGGAATGATACCCTTACAAGTTGCTTTGGTCGCTCCAAAATAGCTGCCAACGATATTCACCACCTGATTACAGATAAAGTCTTCATTTAGGAAGTCGCAGCCGAACTTGATGATATCACCGGCATAATTGTTGATGACGCTCTCGATGCCGTTGCAGACCGGGGTAAAGAGACCCCTCTTGAATTCTTCATCTTCCATCAGCATGCGGGCTGAAAACGGAAAGTTACGTAGTTGGGGGAATTGGGTTTTAATTTTTTTTTTTTGCTTTAGATGGTTTCTAATTTTGTCTACAAAACGGTTTTCTAAGAAAATTTGCAAAGAGTGTAGAATGAATTAGAATGATAGTGTCTTCAACATAGTATACAGTATCAAGGGACGTTGGAATTGAAACGAATTTTAGCAAACTCTTCAGTTAAATCGTAGCAAGGTGTGTTGGTGAGACCTTGAGTGTAGTGTACCCATATTAGGGTGGCATTTAATTACAAATCGATGTAAGAAAATAACGTTTGACTGTTCATGAATACCGTGACTAAAATAAATGAAGTATAAGAATTAAATGCCAACATTGGTAAATCCCTCTTACCCACTCTCTCGTCAAGAGTTTTGGCGGACGCGAATGTTGCGGCAAGGCAAAGTACAACAACGAACAGAACCTTCATCTTGACGTTGACTGAAACTGAAGATGGCAAGAATATTTAAAGAACATTTGGAACATTTAAAAGAAAAGTTGCGACTAACATTTGAATTGGTGTTTTAAATTAGGATGCTCTGCTTTTGAAAATGTCCCAAAATAATATTTTTGTGTCTACAACCACGTATCATGCTCAGCTATGTATCTTTCAGACAAATGAATTAAAACGATAAAAATCCCCTAATAAAAAAGTTCCCACTGTCCATATTTCCCTTTAGAAATGCATGAGATGAGATGAGATGACGGTTTAAGTGGTGACCAGTCAATTAAAACCGGAGTACTTTATTAGAAAATTTGCTTTAAAACATCGGACCCAAGTTCAAGAATAGGGTTGATCAATATATTGTGGTTTAATTTGTGGTTAGCAGGGAAAAATATCTAGGAAAATTTGATTTGGCGGGTAAATTCCAGGTAGGAAACCTTTGAGTAACTGACGTTGTTCGTAACTTGAAGTTATCACTGCATTCCAATTTGATTTCTACGAAAGTTGTACGTGCAAGTAGGCCTACTGCGTGTGCAAGTAGATATAGATATAAACCTAGAATAAATAATATCATGGCACATTGGGTCTGGGCCCTTTCACAGCATAATTGCATTAAAAGGAAATGACCAGACATGCTTCATTATAGAGGCACAATTCCCTAAAGGTACATACGAACCGAGCATCGGTGGAGTGTGGATTCCCAGTAACACATGTAAATCACTTTTGCTAGTTTTGTATACGACTCAAATAAATTCGACATGCCAAGTGATAAACTGAATAGATCAATCGATCAGCCATAAAAGATCTTTAAGATTGCCCTTTTTTAAATTTTTGGGCGGAAATTTAACCTACTTTCGTGACCTACTTTTCTGCCCCATTGCCATACAGCATAGAATGCTAGCATAAAAATCCGTTCAAATATCATTTTCGGGTAAAATTAAACAATGCCTTTTGGTAATTCTCTTAGTTATACTACTTGAAACTATATGCTGGCATTTGGTCGGTATTTGTGGCAAAAAATTGACTTTGTATGCATCTTTAATGGGAAAAATGTAATAAAGTAGGTCCTGACGCGTATGTTTGAATAAGTCAAGTTGAAATATAAGATGTAAATAAATTTATAGGAATATCTATTCATCGGCGTAAGAACCTACCTGGAAGAAGAATGTGATCAGCGTAAATATCTGTTAACCGCAGGAACAGTGCGCCGATATTTGCGGAGAAGCCTCAATTTATACCCCCCCTGGAGACCCTGACCGTGGCTCGGTTCCAGAAACAACCCGCTGCAGGCGTGCCTTAACGTAGGAGTCGATCACTCGTGTGTCTTCAGCACCCTGTTTTTTTATTTCATTGTTAGGTGGTGAAACCAGCAATTTTAATTTGCTATCAGTAGAGGAATGTCAGGGTAATCGTTTCCTTACCATGTTTTCCGTGACTTTTTTAAGCCTCATATCTCGAAACTGTCTCTGAAGATTGAGCTGCAGACCCGAACTTCCCAAGAGTGAGGACAGTTTAAGGAAACGAGGATTAAGCTGTCTGCTACGTGTATCGAGTATTTGTAAAACCCCTTTCCGCTGGACGCCATCCTTTCTGCGTCATTTGTGGGACCATGGAACTGACCAGGTCGCCGTTGGACGTTGAAAGAACGCTTGGTGATTGTTCGTGTCTGCGGCTCAATCTTCAGAGAGAGTTTCAAGATAGGAGGGTTAAAAAGTCACGAAAAACATGGTAGAGAAACGACCACCCTGACATTCAGAAAAGTTCCTCTCCTGATGGCACATTAAAATTGCTGGTTTCACCACGCAGCAATGAAACCAAAGGCAGGGTGCTGAAGACCCACGCGTGATCGACTCCTACGATAAGGCACGCCTACAGCGTGTTTTTGCTGGAACCGAGCCACGGTCAGGGCCCCTAGAGGGGTTATAA